TCCTGATTTATAATGAAGCGCCTCGTTTTGGATCCGTGCATCCTGTGTTCTGTCCAGGTGCCAAACATGTCATTTCTTGCATTCCTCTGTCTGTTTCTATGGCAAAACTATTCGCAGATGAGGTTATTCTGGGTAGTTTAGCCGTATAGTCTCGTCGATAGATGTCAGCGTTTCGCCAAAACATAATGTCTGCATCTTCATGGTTGAAGATCATCATCTTTACCACATAAAAACGTCAGATCTGTCGTATTTAATGTCTTCATTGTTTAATTTCATCAAAAATTATTCACATTTATACTGATACAAAACAATGAAGTTCAACCTCCGAAGTCGTTTTTTCTAATTTCGTATGCTTCAGAGAATGAGAACGGGCCACTATTCGGAAGGAACTCATCTGTTCCTTAGCTTCCAAAACACATTCCACTGTTTCTAAGTTCGCTGCAGACGCAGTATTAATTAACGAATACTCTCATGCGCCAGATGTTGCTGAGCACGTTACATATACAGCAGGGGAAACACATAAAGATGTTCTGAGTTAAGAAAGACTAAACATTTCTTATCTCATTCTATAAAAATTTAAACATTTTCGGAAATAAGGAATTAGATAATTATAACGAAGTCCCGCGCGGTCTGAGGCATCATGCTTCGGACCGGCGATACTGAATGCGCGCTGGTTCGAGCCTCGGGGAAAGAAATTTCTTATGTGATTTTTCGACCAGTGTATGGGACCGATGCCAACCCAGCATCGGGAGGAAATTGGGGAGCTACAATGAGTAGCGTAATCCAGTCAGGAAAACTGGCAATGGCTGGGGGTTCGTCGTGCTGACCACACGTCACCCTATATCTGGTAGGATGATCGTTCACCTCTGCTTAGGCACGTGAACGTGAGGCCAGCAGCCATCTAGTCGGCTTTGGTTCTCAGAGGGCTGTTACGCCACGGATTATTATTATTATTATAACGAAAACGAATTAATTTTCTAATATGGTACGTGGGAATTACTTTCATCTACATTAAAACATTTTCGTAGATTAAGTTTTATGTCGTTCTTATGCAAGTAATGGTTCAATGTTTACATTTACACCAGTAAAATAATTTTAATCTTTATTCCACAAATTATATTTTATAAAATCCATTTTCTACCATACGTTACCATATACGAGAAAAATAGAAGTCAGATTAAAACATGATATTAATTGTGAAAAGGATAACAGAAGAGGGCAGACGGAAGAACAAATTTAACAGTGCTCCGCCTTAATGAAACGACTTATGTTATATCGATAATAAAATAACGTACTTAATTGAACAGAGCTTGGTCCAAATACGCGAATAAATTAAATTTTTAGCAAAGCAGGATTTTAAATTAAAACTGCATATTGCTGCTTAAGTATAGGATTCAATACTCAAAAAGTGTGGTAGGGTACTTCAGGACGTATGTTTTTGCGGAATGTCGGTTATGGCCAACTTCATGTGAACTGAATCATTCATGAAAACGAAACAGACACTGATTTGTTGAAAAGTGTTCCCGGCGTTTCAAGACACACAAACGTTCACTATTGTGTTCAGCCACAGGGTCCTATACAGAACAGTGTTAATGGAGCCATAAAATTAATATCGGCTATTTTAATATTATCCTATGCCTTTTCTTTCGAAGTGTTCTTCCTTTCTATCAGCTTCTTAAGTTAGAATCTATAAAAATCTTGATTATTTTATATTTAAATTGTTCTTTAATAGAAAGTTTGAATTTCTGTTTAATGACAGTTTATAAGTGCGCATCCTCTAAAAATCTCCCGAATTTTTCTTAAGCAGTTACTAATACTAAGGCATTTATAATTAATTAATCACTTTAATTCAAATTTAATTTTACTATAATGTTGTTCCTTTACTCAATTACGATTAATGAACTAAATACTCTTAAAATTACTAATAATAGATCCAAATTACAGGTCAAATCACATCAGAATACGTTTTGGTTTGGAATTAGCCGTATTCAAACCATGCGGAAGATTTTTGGCACGTACAGTGCCATTACATCACCTGCCAGAACTGCGTGGTTTCCGCTGGCTATCAAATGATCACATTTGCTACTACAGTTTGGTGGTTATAAAGCCGACATATTACAGTTGACCAGAGTTGTTAAGATATGATATATCTGTTAAACTGTACTTCGTGTATGCATATATACATACTGCAATTAACTTTTTCGTGGCTTATTCATAAACTACTTAATGATTCTAACACCAGCTGGACCAGTTCATTTTTGTTGTTTCATGCAACCGTCATGTTGTTTTATATTATACTAAATAATTACTGTACCAAAATTGTAAATTTTTGGAAAGCCTACCATTGCAACAATAAGTAGCGCTAGTGTCGTCCGGTCACATCGATACTACAGTTTATAGGAAATTAAAAAGTACAACTTTAAGACAAACTCCAATGGCATAATGTCCATGCCACATTTCATTAAAATCCGTCCAGCGGTTATCCGATTGAATTATGTAGAGAGACAGGAGAACGGACGGACAGACGTGGTCAGCGCTGAATGCGTTAACTTCTAGCATACAGTGCAAAGAATGCATAATAAATAAGAATGTATTTTTAAAGTGGTTTATAAAGCAATGGCTTGTTGTAGTAGTAATAACAAACATATCGCAGGCATACACAGACATACAGCATGTTTGTACAACAGCGAACAAGTTAAACATTTCTAGTGGTCGCTGAATCGCTGGAAGGAGAACGAAAAAATCAAACAGAAAACCTTCATGTTTCACTGCACTTCGGAATTACTTTATCAAGGAAAAGCTATTGTATTCCCTTATAAAACATCGATTTGAAGAGGCAATACCTAGCAGCAAAGATAGCAGGGATAAATTTTTCATGAAAATATTTCTGAACCAACACAGATACAATTTCGAGAAATCAAAATCGCGTGTTCAACCTCTGTGATGTTTTATTAGAAAAGATATGATATTTACCATTTACTCAGGAGTTTATTTATTTGTTCTCAAGTTTTGATAGAATTCTTTGTTGTACAAAGCTTACTGGCTACTCTATGAAGTTAGCTGTCAAACCATTCGAAAATCTAGGTAAGTACTGATGTTTATAAGTAATAGTAACAAAAATTATACGAACAAAGAAATCAAGAGCAAATTAAGTTCAAAAAACCTACAGTTCTGGATTAAAATTAATGTATATTTTTCTGATTAAATACATTTCTGAAGTAGAGTATGCTTATGTTTTTCTATATTGTTTTTTTATTCTCTTATCAGCGACTTAGCTGCGACTATAAATATTTCACCTGTTTGGTGCGTGTGTAAATGTTGTGCAACGTAAAGCAAACAGATTGTGGTTGGCGATCGGGTTAAGCGACGGGCTCTTTTCAACACAGTCACGCACTTTCGCATTCCGCGTATGGTAGTGAATTTCTTGATCGTAGGATTTGAGGTTTTCACTGCGGTGAGTCTTCTGGGTTAGTGCACCGTGTAGTCTGGTAGAAGTTTACCGGCGTTTCAGAGGTCCTCGCTGCCTCCATCATCAGGGCGATAAGTATATAACTTCTACAAGACTACACGGCGCTACAACCCAGAAGACAGACATCTTCAATTATGTGCATATTTCTTCCAGCGTCCTTTACGATGTGAATTAAGACAGGAATAAAAGGGATGTAAGTAAAATGGTAATTATGAATTTGTTGGAATGTGGAAAGTAAAATTCAAACTGTAAAGTTAATAATAAACGTGGTTCTTTCAAACATTGTTTTTAACTGATGGAAATTTGCCTCGAGTATTGTAGAACTAGAATGTTGTTGCTCGTGGGCGCTTGTTTTACTGAATCAATTGTGTTTCACGTTCATTTGCATTAATCAGTTTTAATGACAAACATGAGACAGACTGGTCGAACAGACGGCATTGGAATGTGGGGGGGGAAATGTGTAAATCTGCACCGGCATCACTAATTCTGGAATTCAGATTTGTCGTTAGAAAATACGTCAGCTGACTGCAATATCGAGCATGCTAATGCAGGTCACTTTCCATTCTGGTGCCTACATTTTTCTTCTTAGATATATCGTAATAATACAAATTGCTTGGCATTAGCCCAAGTTTCGAATGTGGTATATGCACCCACTTTCAACCACTAAGCTTATTACCACAGTTTCGACGCTGGTTTTCAGGGTACTAATGCCGTGTGGACTTATACTTGGACAAGTTTCGAATAAACATATTGCTTCCATCTTGAGGACTGTATGATGTAAGCAGTATTTTTCTCCAAAACGTTTTTAGTCTATCTATCTACAAGATAATTTTCAGCCCTGAAGATTTAGCAGAATGTCGATACCTACCTACAAACCTAAACGTTGTTACAACCCAGAACAGCTATATCGACTTTTCACCGCCGTGAGAACCTCAATTTTCATATAGTGTTATGATGTTTGATTAATAATTTATATGAATCAATATATAATTAAGCAATGCTGCAGCTTGCCAGAGTTTATCCGTATTAGCAAAACCCTCAAATTGTCCGCACGGTCTCCAAACCACATAATAAAAAGTTTATAAGCGAAAGTAATGTCACACTTCTCAGAAAGTTATATTACTTGTATATAATGTTACAGTACGCATTTAACTGTAACAACCTAAATATGATACTGGTTCTGCCAAACTCCTGACATATTAAATAAAACCTGCCTAACAGGTAGTAAACCACACATTTACCAAACAAAACTACGAATCTTCATTCCATAGACACAAAACTTCACGCTGGAAGAAACAAAACATTGTAAAATAGAACCAAACGCACTTCGAACTTCAGACCATTAATAAAGAAATGTGTAAAGCTAAAGTGTTTTTGGGTTTTGTGACAAGTTTCCAACCCATCTTAAGGCTTCTAGGCCTGGCACAACAAGTCATCTTTGCCACTAAAATAAGTATATTTTTATCCTACATATATAGATAAACAATGCATTGAAGAAGTATAAAATGCTGAAGAAAATTTTAACACTTACACATAAACTAAATACAGGGTCACAAAAATGATCATGTTTCGGTGACTGCGATGGCTATTATTATGATGAAATTCACACGAAAACAAACAGTGAATTTAAATGAAGAACACACTATAAAATTCAGTTATACGAAAATTACAGGCTCAGTACAGTCTGGCATTTGTATGTTAAACAAAAGACATCAAAAATAAATACGTCCATATCCTGGTAACATAATATGACGCCGAATGTAAATGTAAAGACAATACTACACGTGCGCGGCGTACAGAATGTCCTGAATGGATGCCCGCGAAGCTGATACTGAGCCAAAACCCCGAAAAGCTCAACGGAGATCCAGGAGAAAGAGACGGATAACAGGACTGGAGCCGGTGTTGCTGAAACCCCGCTGGTGCTGCACTGCGCAGTCTCAATGAAACTACGGTCTGTAGCGCTTGAAGAACCCACATGAAGTATTTGCAAAGCCGCGTTAAACCCAACGGGCAATGGTACATGCATTAAAAATTCTGAAAAAATGTTTTTCCGTGGGAAAACCAAAAGAATATTTTCCGTGATTTCTGTATGTGAGGTGCCATAAAATAATGAACCCGAAATCAGGACGTATCACACTATTACGAGAAAATTATTTTGATTAACGTTATCGGTTTATTGGTTATTTCAGTTTTACCTGAATACTGGTCTCCGAAGCGTTAGACCTTCTCCAGTGTCCTCCGAACACGGACGTCTTTGAAAGCAATTGTCACTTTAATGGCCCCAATAAAGTTATGTCGTAATTTCCTGTGGAACTTCACAGATAATGTTATGAAATGCTAGGTACGTAACCTAAGTACGGGGCAAAATAATCATTTCCGATTTTAAAGTCGCCTCCTCTAAAAACAAATACAATGAATTTAGATCTAAATTCAGAATGCGATATCGAAGATAAATTTGCTCAATTAGCTTCCACAAAAATAACCAAAAACATCCGGTTTGAATTTTGAAAAAACGAACTTCTTGTTGATATCGACTTTAATAGTCAAATCGTGTTTAAAATAAACAAAGGTAACTGTTTCTGGGTTATTGCTCTGTGTATTATGGTAGACGTTTACCAGACTATCAGATCTCAAGACTGCACTGTGCAATAACCTAAAAGACAGCCATCTTCATAACCGCCGCCGTGGGATCCCGAAATTTCATGAACTAACAAATACGTTTCATACGGTATGTGACAGACATACGTATTCGAATTACCATAGGCTATTTATTAGAAATACATTTGATACACTGGCTGCGGAGGAACACAGTACCTTTATCTTCATCCCTGGAGATAGAGACATTATGTTCGTCCGAAACGTTGATGTCTACCTACAGGCCCACACGGCAGCACTACCCAGAAGGCCAACATGGACGTCACTGATCAGGATTAGCTGACATCGATTCAGGATCCCTTGAAAAATGAAATTTCGTAGGACAAAGACATTATAGTGCTTTGGCGACGAGTGGAAAGCTTAAACTGTGTGCAATTTACATCCTTTGTGCTGTCGGTAGTCCGAATTTAGCCAACAGCAAGTTTTCTTCAATTGCTCCAATTACAAACTTCGCAGCAATTTTACCCATAGTATTCCTAAAAATTCCTCATTCTCTGTCCCGTTACAACATCCACAAAGGGGGGGGGGGAATTTTATCGGCGTTACGACATGCTCAAACGTATTTAAGGAATACTATGGGAGACAAATGACTGAATTTAATGCGCAGTCTAGACTTTGAAATAGAATGGCTTTTGTAAAACCCCTCCCCGATTTTACTCTTCTACTTATGGTGTTGTAATATACAATAACTGATATGTGAAGAGTAATACAGTACCCAAGATCAACCAGTGTTTCTAACAAATCATATTTGTAAGAATATCTAACAGTTGAATATCAGCTCTGTCAGATAGGAAAAAAATGTAAATTTACTTCCGGTGTCCTTTGAACGCAATGAATTTTAATAAAATAAAATCGATAACAATTGCAGTAAAGAAACCAAAAAATTTCACGTACCTCTGCTAAGCTTGTGACTTAAATTATGTTACGTTCATTGCTAAACCAACACGCACTAAATATTAATCACTTTGAAAATCTCAGCTACTGTGAAAAGTTTCAGCGTGTCACCTGTTACGCTGTATTCGCTGTTATCTATTCACTTTCTTAACCAACTCAGTAAATCTCTCTGTTGCTACATTAAAACAGTCACAGCAGACAGCAAACTGTAATGTAACTCGCATTCGACATTTTTAGAGCTGCAGAGAAGTTTGGTTTGATCATTAAACTGCGAGAAAAAACTAAGTCGGTTGGATGCTTGCATCAAGTTACAGACAGCTGCAAACCTGACTCTCAGTTCCCACTTTACATTCGCATCAATTACACCTTGCGTGTAAGAGACTTCAGGGTACAGCAGCCAGGAATTAAATCCTTTGATGTTCACGTGGTCTTCTTTTACAGAAAATTGAAAATACAGCAACAGTTTACATAATAAATAGAAACAAAAGCAGCCCGAACCAAATAATCGCTTAGTGCAAAGTAAGTGATATGAAATACTATCAAAGTTGCTTCAATGTGTGAAAAATCTAACCTACTTTGCATGTCTTCGTATGATTATCTTGCGGCATGAAAGTTCGAAATATAGACCTCAACAGCAAAATGTTTGAGATACTGTCCCGCATTGGTTGCGTCTGTGTTTCAATTCTCTATGTGGATTTGAAAATTACATTCATATTTATTTTATGGCTGGAAGCGCTATGTACTGATCAAAGCATATTACATATATTTTGTTTTTACATTGTGTTAATATGAAGAGTATTGAAAGTGTCCAAGTAGAGGCGACTTTGTGTGTTATTAATACTGATCCATTTGTAATCCGTTTTAGTAGAATGATGAATCGATCCACAGGCATCAAGTGAGATTTGAAGTTCTCCGATGATGCACTGTGTAGTCTGGCAAATACGCGCCCTGGAGATGAAGGCAGTGCGCTCCTCTGAAATGGCGGTCAATATCTAACAAACTATACGGTGTAACATTGCAGAACACGGATACCTTATAGCTGCCATGTTGTATCGTTAGGATACTTATATTTAGAAGTTTACAATGGGTTGCGGAAATGGATTAGATAAAAACTAAGAATTCATTCAGCAATTTGGTGGGAAAACCTCTGGGGAGACCGAAAAGAATATGGGAGAATAACAGAAAGGCGATGTTGGTGACATGGGTCGTGAGGATGTCGTATGAATGGAAGTGCCTCAAGATCGTGTCAAGCAGCGGGCTTTGGGAGTATCCTATTAGTGTTGAGCCTTCGGGATCTGTTGTCAAGCTGATGGGCTAAAGTCCTTGAATTGTCGTGCGACATCTGCTGTCCTGTCACGTCAACATCGCAACAGCGACAATTCGGCAAGTCTTCAATAAAAGCAATAATATTACTTTCGATTTCCATTTTTAAGAAGTTACATTTTAGAATTTTCTGCGTTAAACCCAACTGAGGATTTTCTTAACCCCAGTCTTTAAGAGGTCTTTAAAAAACTAAAATTACAAGATTTTGTTGTCAGCCATCTTAGAAAGATCTTCTGGGTGGTGAAGCCGTGTAGACTCTTTGGAAGAACATGCCGCCTACGTCGTCAGGGGTGAAGACTGAGACAGTATGTTCCTCCAAAACAAGAACATCGTCATCTTCAAATCTCATATCTTAGATCGAATTATAATGTGCAAAATTTTAGAACAAAACAGAATATTAACCTAAAATTTAGTTTACAATAAAATCGATGATCGGCGCACCAGTACGCCTACAGGAATGTGTCTATTGTAGTGATCCTCTTCCTTCCAGCCCGTGTTCGGCGAACGAGACGGATACAAAGTGGCCATTTCTGTTCTTGTTTCTTTTCCCCCAGTTTTCTGATGGCTACTGCAGGAAGCTAATTCGGAAGTTCGCGTAGCCAATGTGACTGGCCGTGGCCTTAGGAGTGTGTAATGGAATTGACGATAGAGGAATTTAAGTTACAGTCAATCGGCCGTTTCTGTAAATCTGAGGTTCGTTTTCACCCTGGCCAAAGATACGATGACTGAGGGAAATCAAAGTGGCGGCATTTAAAATCACATCGTCCGGACTTGGAAAGGGGAACTGACAGCAAAAAAGTTGTTGTTTTTTTCAAGTTAACCGCGTTAAAATCGTTTGCGACAGAAACGAAACGCTGCAGATAGAACATTTTGTACGATACACCTAAACACAAATGTGATCAGCAAACTTGACATGAACCGTACACAAATTCCACCTCCTTAACAAACACAACCACGTGATATTAGATCTCACCAAACGCCAACTAGATCAGAAATGCAGGTCTTTACACTCAGGTGTATGTAACATACCAAACTCATTAACCCCGAAGTACCAAACGCTGTCTGGAAACCATTGGTAAGTCTGCATGCGGGTCTGTCTCACAATCAGTATAGTTATTGATATCGCAATTGTACTGAATTCGACGATCGGCTGGAATCACTGGACAGAAAGAAAAGAATACGCAAAGTTTCAAGGCTAGAATGAAAATAAATGCTTATAGATTAAAAAAGCATAAACATTAACAACTCGTAACAAAATGGTTTAGTGTGAAAGAATAGAAATCAAATTAAAGGCAAGAAAGATAACACTGCAAGTCGCAGGAGAAGCCGACAGGGTCACAAGATCCCACACAAAACCAGAACTGCTGTCTTACTGAGGCTCATTGCACCTCTTGTAAGTGCACGGTTATGTGTTTAACGACGTTCCTTAGTATCATAAATTCCGATGTAAGACTAAACGTTAACAAATGACAGCTATAATCAGAGTTGTTCCAATATACCATTCTACATTACAAGAACGTGGACGTATAAGCTGAGCTGTTGTTTGGTATTTAAATTACATGTCCCCCTTCTTCTCGTATTGAAAAATAAGAATTGACCTATACATATATATATATATATATATATACATATATATATATATATATATATATATATATATATATATATATATATATATGTGTGCTTATGATTTGAAGGTCAAGAATATATTAAAGGACCCAAGTACGTCATATCATCTTAGAATATATCAAGTAACCCAAAAATCTATGGGTACACAACCAATTGACCTGCTGGCAGTAGTTCGTTTGAACCACATCCTACAGTAGCTACTGTCCAGTATAATGGAATGGTTTTCGCACGAGAACCAATCTAATTAAACCCGGTCGCGCTACGGAACTTCTGACCCCGGTCTTTTAGAAATCGCACTTGCACAGTTCACACCACTCCTTTTCGGCGTCTCTCTCCTTCCGA